AAAGCTGCTTCCTCAAAATAGAGGTGATCATAATTATGTAAATGGAATAAAGCTTTTGGAACTCATTTGCTGAGGAGGCAGGACTCAAAATGAGATGAAACCATGGCAAACATCCACTAATAATCAGAATTTGGAATGTACAAAGTATGAATCTAGGAAAATTGGAAGTGGTCAAAAATGAAATGGAATGCATAAACATCAATATTCTAGGCATTAGTGAGCTGAAATGGACAGATCATTGAATGGTTTACTATGCCAGGAATGACAAATTGAAGAGAAATGGCATTAATTGCATTCATCATCAAAAAGGGCTTTAGCGACTGGCTGCTCTGAAAAGCCATCTTTGCATTGTTCCCGGGTCCGGCTCTCTGCTCCCCGCAGCCACCTCCGCCGCGCCCCTTCTTCGCCGCCGCAGTGGACTCCGGCACCTCTCTCGCCAGAGTCCCCGAACTCTCGTACTCTTTGTCATTCTCTGTATCGGATCACCGACGTGCCCCATCATGTCAGACGCGGCTGTGGACACCAGCTCCGAGATCACCACCGAGGACTTGAAGGAGAAGAAGGAGGTTGTGGAGGAAACAGAAAATGGAAGAGACGCACCCGCTAATGGGAACGCTAATGAGGAAAATGGGGAACAGGAGGCTGACAATGAGGTAGACGAGGAAGAGGAAGAAGGTGGGGAGGAGGAGGAGGAAGAGGAAGAAGGTGATGGTGAGGAAGAAGATGGAGATGAAGATGAGAAGGCCGAGGTAGCTACGGGCAAACGGGCAGCTGAAGATGATGAGGATGATAATGTTGACACCAAGAAGCAGAAGACTGACGAGGATGACTAGACAGCAAAAAAGTAAAAGTTAAATTAAAAAAGGCCACCGTGACCTATTCACCCTCCACTTCCCGTCTCAGAATCAAAACGTGGTCACCTTCGAGTAGCGAGTCCCACCGGCCCACTTTGGGCAGCGCCACCTGCAGATAACAAGCGCTCACCACCACCCAACCGAAACCACAACGTGAATTTGCAACGGGAGAAAAAAACCAAAACTTCCAAGGCCCTGCTTTTTTTCTTAAAA